CAAACCAGTCTGGGATTCTATGAAACGGGGTCAGGGCTTTGGTGGCACTGTGTTCTGTTAACCCTCCCCATCCCCTCCGTGCTGCCAGCTGGGGACATGTTTTGTGCCAGGGACATTTTTGGGCATGTCTGTCCCCTGTCCAGCACCTTGCGCCTGGGTGCTGTGGCCTCCCCACCACCTCGCCTCTCCTCTCTGCAGGGTGTACAAGAACACCGAGGAGCTGAGGACAAGGATTGCTTCGGGCATCATCGCTCCCCTCGGGACCCCCGTAGAAAAAGCCAAAAAGGATCCTGAGGTTGAGAAGAAGGATCCTGACTTGCACCGGGATTACGACCCCCTCAGGGTCCCTCCCCGGCAGCCGGCAGGCATGAGGGCACCGTCCCGGTGAGTTAAGAGCGGGTGGCTGCTGACAGTCCTCTGTTATGGGACACAGTCTGGGCACAGCTTTCCAAATGATGCCTCTGGTCCCTGTTGCATGTGTGGGATGGGGAGCGCAGAGGCTCCAAATCCTCCCTGGCCAGTGTCAGGCTCTGTGGCTGAACGCTTGGGTTTGATTTTGGTTACCCACTGGACTGGCAGAGCAGGGACAGCAGTGGGAAGGATGATGCTGCCGTGGGGCTGAGCATCCTCTGGGAGGGCCACCAGAGCGGTGCATGTCAGATTGAGCCATGCTTATGGCAGAGGGGAGAGGGGAGGTGCAAAGCTCTGCCTTCGCTGGGCACAGTGCTGGGGCTGCCTCTGAGCCTCCAGCTGTGCTGCCCCAGGACAGTGCACCCAAAGGGGGCTTGGGGCCCAGCCCAGGAGGTGCATTCTTGGTCTTTGAAACCCCTTGCTGGCCAAGCTGGAGAGAGGGGATGCATGGCACCCACTTCACCATCCTCCCCATGCCCCTCTGTGCCCAGCCATCCCTCGTATATGGCAGGCGGGGTCCCCTCTCTTTCCCCCCACAAGCTGTGACCCCTTTGGCTGGAAGTCAGAGACGCTGCGGTGGCTCTGCCATCTCTTGGAGCCCAGCTGTGGCTTCCTTGCATGTCACCTTTGGCTCCGTTAACCCCACTGCTGGTGCTCAGGGCTGCCCAGGGTGCAAGATGCTCCTTGGGGAGGCCGGGGCAGACAGGCTGGAGCTGGGCATGGCTCTCAAACCACGTTATTGGCACATATTACTGGCAAGGAGATGTGACAGCTGGCTGCAGGCTCACCGCCCCGCTGTCCTCGCACTCCTGGAAGCGGGACTGTCATTGTGTCTCTGACTGGGACATGCTGGAAAGCCTGGCCTAGCCTGACACTGCTCGGGGAGCCCCTGGCATGGAAAATCCCAGTGTCCACAGACAGTTTCTGCCCAGAGCAGTGGGAACAGCAGGGCCCCCTTCATCTCAGCAAGCTTGCCACGCACACCCGTGTCCACCCCCAGCTGCACCCTGGAGCAGGGAATGCTGCAACTTGGGCATGGGGTGCTTCCCGACGCCAGCCTGCTCACGCAGCGTCCTTTGGGTGCTGCAGTTGGCTGCAGGAGAGCACCCATGAGGGCAGCACCGGCAACCACGCTGGCTGTGCTGCCCTGCCTGCTTGCTTCACTCCTCTTCCCCGTCACCTGACGTCGTGTTCTGTGTTTCAGGCCTTCCCCCTTGAGCCCCTTCGCTGTCGGTGGGGAAGACCTGGACCCTTTTGGGTGAGTATGGCTTGGAGAGGTCATGCTCTGCATGCCTGGGGAGCATCCCCTACTTCCCGTGGGGTGGCTGGGGAGCCTTCTTCGAAGCAGCTGGATTCCGCCCGGCCCAGGCGTCCGGCGAAGCGTCTCTAAGCGCAGACGGCGATGTGCAAATTGCAGGGGACCAATTGACAGTTGCTAAACCTCAATATGGTTCTAATATCGTAATAAGATCCCGTCTCTTGCATAGATGATAGGTTGCAATCTGCGTCTGCTTAATAATCAGCTTGTATTCATTTAACATGCAGTAATTCCTTCAGTAAATCAAAGCTGAATACGTCGTTAAGTGAATGTAAGCCCCTAATTTAAAATGTTACCAGCTGCTGCGGCTACAGCCCAGCAGTCTGGAGAAGGGGAGGTTTAAAGCAGAGTCCACAGATTCTCAAGTCCCGGTTGTGAGCCTCCCGGCTGTCTGAGGCACTGGAGAGAAAGCCTGGGTAGGAGGAGGGCTGCGTGTGGGACCGATCTTGACAGATACATCCCTCCCTCTTGGGTTTGGTCAGGCAACGGGAACCTGTCATCTTCCATTCCAGTTAAAAGCACATAGTCAGACAAAAAACAGCTCTTGGAGTCATTGCAGAGCATCCTGCAGCCCAGGGGAGTCTTCTTTGGAACCACTCTCCTGTGGGGATCGCATTTTTTCCCCCTCTTGCAAGACTTGGTTCTCCATGGGTTTGGCTAGAAAAGGGGCTGGCTAAAAACATCCCGCTCGGCTGGAAGGAGAAGCCTGGAGCCTGGGTGGCTGGAAGGAAACCCAACAGCGCGAGGAGAGGGGGTTCAGCTGTGGGGGAGACCCTGTTTCTCTCACTGCCTCCAGCCCTTCATCAGAAGTTTCTCTATAAATGACAAAAAAAGATGGTAAATGGAAGCAGATTTGTGCTCCGACACCTGCCAGCACTGGGGCCGGAGACCCAGACTCCCAGGCGTATGCTCGTGGGGCCCAGCTGTCCCGGGGCGCTTTGGGCAGCCGGCCTGGCGTAATGGAACTCATTAGCGCGGTTGTTAATGACTTGTATGATGGCAGCGGTGTCCAGAGGCTCCAGCCGAGTTTGCACAAAGCCGACCATGAGGAA